GGAGGGAGGGAGGGAGGGAGGGCAGAGAACCGGTGGGCATCGGTTCTTCTTCTGCTGGCACGGTGAAGGATGTGTTCCTGGAAATGTGCTCATGCTTCGTGCGAATCTCAGGCCGTGTCTGTTCCCACGGCTTCGAGGATGTGCTGCCAGGCCACCGTTGTTAAATGTTCTCACGTTCATGCTACAGTGCATGTCTGCGCTATTCTGCCTATTCGGAGGCCTCGTAGGCTGTCACCGATGCAAGATCCTGCTTCCGCAGATGGTTCCTACCCTCAGCGGTTCATGTCCACGTATACCATTTCAAGCGACGCGGCATGCATGTTCCTGCTGCAGGTTTTGCTGGTCTATCGCTGGCCGAAGGCATGCGACATTGTGTGTGAAGAACTAGACATAATTGTGCAGTTTCCTTATACAGCAGGCCGATCGAGATCTTTCTCCATGACCGATGCTGCGTTGCGTTCTCAGATTATCGCTGTGTTCATGGAGATGTACATTTTCTGTTGTTGATCTTGGCTGGAAGGCTGGGACCTGGGAGTTTCAGTTCGCCGCAGAGCAAGGCTGAAAGATTCCAATATATTGTGGCTGAAGAGTGGAAGAATTGCCTTGTCCATTTGCTTAAGAACTGAACTCTTCTCGCAGGTGACTTGGTCTGTCACATTGCCAGCAGGGCAGCCGCAGCCTCAGGGTTTTGATACTCCTGTACTTGTCTAACCGTTATGAACTGTATATATCTGCACCTATGCATGCATGCATGCATGCATGCATGTATGCATGCATATGCTTATGTACAGTTAAAGCTTATGGCTTGCGCAGAAGAGATAAACGTCGACAATCATACAGAGAACCAGTACACTGTCGTTCTCATATACATATACATATATATAGATTAATATACTTCTACACCTGCGATATTGAAGCAATCGCAGTGATGTCTAGATCGTCGAAGCACTCAAAGTGCCCTCGAAGTCGTGTCCACGTTCTGCATGCTACAGTCTTTCTATTCCGTGTCCCCACCCTATATTACCTGTCTTAGTTTCTCATTGCTTTCTCTATTTCCACCAAGTGCAATCCCAAAGAGTCCGTAGGTGTCATAATTCGCGGGCAGCCATCATCAGATTCTGCGAATTCACTGAGTCAAACTGGGTTCGGGTGCAACATGTCCAGGCATGCAAGTATGTGTGCGTATGCGGCAGGTAGGTCGGTTCTACACACCTCTGTCTCTGTAGTGCTATGGCAGTATGTATATATGTGTTTCGGTATGTATGCAGGCGCATGCACATGTCTGTAGCTACCAGGTCGCATTCTTTAAGGAGTCTGCGAATACCATGTGCTCAGGTTAGACACAGATGATGCCTCCCAGCTGCATTTATGTCCCGGGTCCCGCCGTTCTGAGCTTGGGAAGACACGTGCCTGGCTCGTGAGGCAGACGGTGGTGAGACTTGGCGTGGCAGCGTGCTCAGAGTGCATGGATGCGAAGACAGGTTGGCATGAGTGGATGCATGGACCTGAGATTACTGCTTTACTAATAAGTTCACGAACTCATCATGTACAAATAGCCGCCAACAGGAGTATACAACAGTAGTTCACTAGCATTCAACAAGACGCGCAAAAACCACAGGTACAGCGAGGACAGCGACATCAACAACAAGAGTGAGTGTTCGCCGCCGCAGCCGCAGCAGGAACTGGAGCAGCAGCATCAGCAACACGAGAAGCGACGGCAACAACAGCAACCCCATCCATGTGAACAGTTCATGAGCAGCAGCGAGGCATATCATCATCACGCGTTCAGTACTATCAGATCTGCCTCTTCAACAGTTCCGCCCAACAAGGGGGCATTAGCAGTGATGGTAGGGGGAGGAATCATCAAAGGGTGAAGGAGGTGGAAGAGGCCGAGGCGGAGAGGGAGGAGTAGAAGTTTGGAGAGTTTCTATATTGTTAACAGCTTTTCAGCAGCAGCAGCTGTCTGCATTTGCAAGGATTTCAGGCATGCTGTCGCCTGCGAAAAGAATCGAGCGGGCCGAAGCTAGACATTCGAGTCGCAACTCGAGCGGTGGAAACATGGACAAGTCGTCTGTTGCAAAACGGCGGGAGAGTCCTCTTTGGGGAGCTGGGGGCGACTGTTAAGATGCAGCATGATGTGGAAAGTAGCTCGAGGCATCTCGAAGAGAGCCGGGCACTTTGGCACCAGACCTGTGCTTTTGACGGTACTGTTGTTTGTGCAGGCAAGCACGACGCCGTTATTCACCGACACCGGCACGCCCGTCGGTGCTTGTTCTGCCAGTCGTTTCAGTCGCAGAGACCTTAAGCCTGGCATCGTGGATAACATGTCAGGGATCTCCGCGCGGGTATCGATGCTGTCGAGACCCAGTTGCCTTTGTGCATCATTCCGTGCCATTGCAGGTGGCGTGACAAAATCACTTTCTTGGCTTAAGCTGCAGGTCCCGTTCGCCTGACAACCACCATCGTAGTATTCCCACACCCCGCACGGAGGAGGACTGCGTTTGCACGCTCATGTTGCAAGATCTCACCTTGCATCGAAACAGATGCTTGCTCTACAGCGAGCTGGCCAGCGAATCCTTCAAACTCTCGAGGCGGCGATCTAAGGGCACTGGTGACTTTTGAGCTGGCTTTGGACAGCTCCTGTTTTAGGACAGAAAAGGCTCAGCCGCAAAGTGGAGCGGCAGCCCCAGGAGTTTCTGTCAGGGCGATGTGCTCGCTTCTGGCAGCGGGAGGTCCCAAGAGCTGGAAAACTCCGCTGGAGCAGGGCGAGGCCTGGGGGCCCCCCAGCGATGTGTCTCGGAGTTCGGGGGATTTCGTAGGTTTTCGGATCCGCTGCAGGACATGCTACAGGAGCAGCTGGCGCTGGATGAACGAGAGCGCATCGTGAGACTCGTGGCTCGGCTCAGAGCAGGCTTTTTGAACATTTGCAGACGGGGCAGATGTCAAGCTCAGGTGAAATCCAAGTCGAATCCGTCGGATCCTTTCAGGACAGGACACAGCACGGTCGTGGGTGGCTGTTCGGGTCGAATATGACCATCGCATGCAGCCAGAAGTGTATGTTGCAGGGGACACATCGCGCAGAACATCAAGCAGCGATTGGAGATGGCCAACAATGACTCGACCGAGGTGCTTCCTACAGATTTGGTTTGGAATTCGAGTTCTGGTGCACTCAGTCAGCTCTTGCGCTGACTTAAATACTTGCGACAGGGGCTCGCCATCAACCAGCGTTGTCTGAATATTCGCAAGCAGCTGGCTCTGGACCCAGGCAACTGGCCGTAGATTTGAATAGTTCTGCGGCAAGTCTGCACTTAGGCTGGCATGGTGAATGCGCGGAAGGAGTTGGCATCGCTACGAGCAAAGGCATTTTCCCATCAAAGCCAAGCTCAAGCAGACTGTTCCGTCACAGCATGGTTCGTAACAGGCCCATCTCCTGATGGAGGCGGGAAGTGCTGGTGTTGCAGTTTAAAGGAGAGGACAGGATGGAACGTAGACTGAAACAACAGCTTGGCCAGGAGCCCCTTCTTCCCAGGTTGATTTTGGACTCCTATGGTCTTTACTCGGAGCTCAATGACTGAAGGGATCAGTAGAGAATAGTAACTTCAATAGTAGACGCAGCTATTCGGTTTGCTGTGCTATGCGCCATTAAAGTCTCCTTCTTTGAAAGAAGGTTTTAGTTCCCAATTATGAAGTGGCCACATGCTGAAAGCATTCGGACTCCACCTGTAGTTTTTTTTTATGGCCCTTTAAGGGGCGCGGAATTTAGCCGACTTCGGCACGTCCTCAAGGGAGCAGCTCAAAAAGTGTGTACATCCGACCTGAGACCTGCATCCTGTCGTGGGAGGTGCTGTTTTCAAGCTGTACGTCTCTCCTGCTCAGCTGCTGAGCACTTGAAGGCTTCCATCAGCATGTCATGTGAAATTACGGAGGTTCCTGTTGACGCATATGGTGGGGTGGGCAGAGCAGAGCTTCTTGTTGACAATGTCACTCTTCGTCGAGTAGACTTTTGCATCGAAGTGTAAAGAAAGATAGCCATCGCCATGGTCTGCAGAGCCGTACTTTTTGCCTGTCTGGCCTACGCAGGAGCCCCGAATCCCTGGCAAAGCCAGAGAACGACGAACGACACACGAGTCTTGCATCAAAGCAATCTGCTGCTAAGAGCCCTAGGAGTCTCTTGAGACAGCGCTCGAAGATTCGAAGCATTCAGCAGCTCACTGTGAAAGGCTGTGGGGTTCTCGCACCTACCGCTCATGTGAGTCATGAGAGGGAGGATGAAACAAGCTTCGGAACCAGCAGATGTTCGCAGCCTTCTGTCTGTCACTCTACACGCGGCACTTCCCTCTCCCATGCTACAGTGTGTGTAAGCTCCTTGAAACCATGTGTTTACCAACTTGCCATCTTAATCTGGTGCATGACAAGGCATGTTCTGTTTTCGAGGAGCAGCAGATGATGAGGATTCTTGCATCAAGAAGTTCTCCACGTACTATGATGATTCAGAGCCTCCTGTTGCAGCAGCCTCAGTTTGGTGAGAAGAGGCTTGCAGCATTGTCGCATTCTCTTGCTAGCCGCATGGGGTCTTGCCGTATGAGTTCTCTCCACAGACGTGTTGTCATCCAGTGACCTCGCTCGCTGCCAATTGTCGATTCACACAGGATGTGGGTTATTCGGACTCTGCCGTAGAGTGCCAGGCTGCCTGTACCCCAGTCTCTCGTCAGAAGCGCCGTGGTGTCAAAAGCACCGTCTGACCGCTTTTTTCTACCGTAGGCCTGTGCGCAACAAGCTGGATGTGATGCATCGTCCTCGGATCTTGGATGTCCTTAAATGATGTTCCAGTTCCAGCTATCTAAAGGCTATTTTGCAACGTCGCTGACACCACTGCTTGCCGATGCCACGAGGCATGGACCTACCTGAGCGACTCCCAAGTCTGTTGGCAGCTCCCGATGACACCGGAAGCCGTGGACTTGGATATCACGGGGAGCCGTATGGACAAGCGCTTGAAATGCTAGAGGTATGCATGCGACTGTTCTGTGTGCATGCTTGCCAGTTGGTGCTCATTGGCAACAAATTCGGCACCAGCGGCCTCAAAAACTGTGCGTCGCACCCCAAGCATAAGATCCGGCCAGGTTGTAGTTCCCCTGTCGGGATCTCGCATCTTGTTGAGGCCAGCTGCGGCCGTTAAGGCCCGCCAAGCAGTCTCTGGGATCATACTCTGAATATGCACGGGTTCGCTCTGCACAAGTCCTGCAGGCCGCAGTGGTCGCAGAGGCTACCGTAACCATGGCGCCTGTGGCATACCAAGGAGCGGGGTGTCGGGCAAGCTTCCCACGTTTGGTTTGTCGGTTCGAACGAGGCGGGCTGCGGCCGCAGTGCTCCTTCCGGGGAAAAGCCTTCTTCGACTCCAGTGTGAAGGCCAGGCCGGTTTTCTTTCAGAGAAGTCGCAGGGAGCCAATGCCTTGGAGGTGGTGAATGGTGGCACCGTGGGATCACCGCAGGATTGTGCGACAAGCTGCAACTCACAACCAACGTGCCAGTTCTGGACCTTCTACAACAACACCGGGGCGTGCTGGCTTCAAGGCTCCAACGTGACACAACATGAGAGCGAGTTTGCAGTCAGTGGGCCCAAACTTTGTGTCCAAGCTGTGGAAAGTGACCGCTACGAGTCTGGACACAACATCACGCGGGCCGGCCAGCTGGTCATGATGAGATCTATTCCTCGTCCGAGTTGCTCCAACCGCGGCCAAGCATATCAGCACGCAACACTGAAGACACCAACTTATGTTGCAGATGCCAACGCATGCCAGTACTCCTGCCAGACCCTGTCTTTCTGTACCAGGTTCACTTACTACATAAACTCCAAAGGTTGCTGGTTGTTGGATGACAACGTCACAACCTTTGCGAGTGACATGGCCATCAGTGGACCCAAAGCGTGCTCCAAGCCAATCCTTACAGAGATTGAGCCTGCTGCGACACCAGGTTTGCGCGCGACCCTTGAGACTGGTCACTCGCAAGATGCATGCAAAAGAATCGGTGTTGCCTATCGGGGCAACTTGGTGTCGTCGATGGTCGCTACAAGCGCTTCGGAATGTCAGCAGTTTGCAGCTCAGAGGTTTTCCTTGGACTGCCTCGGCATTGCGATCATGTCACGCAGCAGTAGTTTTTGCTCGAGGCGATGCCGGACGTCGAGGGCTTGCGACGTCTTCACGTATCGGCTGGACTCCAATAGGTGCTTGCTGCATGGATCCAGAGTTGCTTGGATTTCAACTGGCTTGCGCTCCCTTCGGTCATGAGTGTATGCGGGAGACCTATGCCTGCGATATGTCGCAGCTATAAGTTGTGCAAGGCCATGGAGCAACAACATCCTCATGCTGTCAGCGGGCCAAAGGCGGCTGGCAGAGCATTGGCTCCAGTGTTTGTGCCAAAATCAGAGAAATGTGGGGCTCAACAAGCGGCATGAACACTCAGCCACCACTTCTGCGAGGCCTGCCTGGACGAGTTCCAGATGCTGGCGAGCCTGCCGGAGAAGGCACGCGTTTCGGCAAGCAGCGGCAAACATCTGCAAGATGACCAGTGGCAGGCCGAACCGGAGAGGAGGCCGAGCTTTGAACAAATGGACGAAGAGTCAACGCATCAACATCACTCCGTCGTTGACAGGCTCAGCCACTTGAGCCTGGCAAGCTTCGTTTTAGTGCCCGACTTGGAACCAAGAGGTCTTGTACTCGATGCTGTCTGGTGCCTCCATGGTGTCTCAGGCGGCCTTGCTGACCTTGTCCTTGGTGGTTGGTCGGCTGCAGGCACGAAGGGTGGGCGAGGGACTCCATGAACCGAAGTTTACTGATCCGGATGGGCAAAACCCGGTACCGATTGACAAACATGTTTTTGTGACATTAGCTGTGACAGCCCTCAAGAGCATCATGAGTGGGTCTGAGGGATCGCATGCAAGAAATCTCTAGATCGACAAACGCCTGGATATCTTTGCGTGCTGTCGCAGCATACCCGTTCCAGGCTGGTACCTGGGCTGACAGGCACGCAGATGTGAAAGTCAGCGGTGGGAAATGGACTTGCTGGAGCCTGGCCAGGGGTGCCCGGCGTGCCCAGCAGACTGAGCTCTCGCTTCTGGACTGCTCGGCTAGCGCTTCTGTTCTGTCGACAGAGAACGGGCTGCCTTTGCGTACTGATGTACTGATATTGTATCGCTGCAGGATCCCGATCAAGCTGTAGATGAGGCCTCCCCGGTCCTTGAATTCACTGGAAGCACGCACGAACTCTTGAGCTTCCGAACGGTCTGTTGACGATGTCTAGAAACGGCGTGCGGGTGATTTGCCTAGATGCAATGCACCCTTCGTGATACCTCCGTGCTTGCAGGCGCTCTGACGTTCATCCTTGGCCATTGTTGGTCTCGCAAGCGTGAGATGCTTCTGGCCCATGTGCAAGACTCCTTGACGAGGCTGTGCCAACAAAACGTAGGCTCTTTAGCTTTAGTGTCTGAGGAACTGCAACCTAGACTCCGCATTTAGCACAAAGCTGCTGTTGTGAGTAAAAGCCTCCACTGCTTTTTGTTGCTGTTCGACCCCCTGGGATTGAGAAGGTTGGGGAGTTGGGGCAGAGTTCGCTGTAGCGCTTTGCTGTGACCGCAGCGCTTGGCCCGAGACCGGAGGAGGGGGGAGGACAGGAATGGACGGTGCGGGGTGCGGCTTCCCGCTCCCCTACGGTGCGAGCCCTTGGTTGGCATCTCAAGCTTTCTCTCCTTGTGGTGGTGAGTCGCATGCTTAGGTCAGCCTTGACGCAGGCCCAAGCCTCTCCAAAGTGGATGGAGGTGACGGGCTGTAGATAGGACAGTAGGTAGGACCCCGGGCCGCAGTGCCAATCATCGGAAGATGCAGCTAAGATAGATACAGAGTCAGCCGGATCATGGTATGTGCCAGGGACGGGCCCCGCAGTGCCTTAGCAATATGTTTGTGGACATGCACTCTGTAGGTATCTATATTCTTTCATGTATCGGTGCATCTCTGCCTTCATAACACGTCTTTTGCGAATTCTCACCTTGCGAGCCTGTGTGCTTCGCCGCGTGAGGCCGGACCAATTGCAAGTTTCGTGTGCATGTCAAGGGAGCGAACAGTAACAACCGTAACATGCATTTCGAAGAGCGAGGCGCAGCGGCCATGGCGCCAGACATCCATATGACAGACCTTGAGCAGCGGTTGCCTGGCAAACATGTGGTCAAGCTCGTTCTGGTCCGGGATTCTGCCTAGCCGCTATGACCCGCTGCTACATCCGACTATCATCAAGGCGAATTCTCCAACAGAGGACGCTGCATGGTGGCAGTCCCAAACGATTGCATTTTCGTCCGACAAAGCTGGTGCCCCGTCAGCTCTTTTGCGTGTTCAGTTTTGCGTTTAGGTCACCGGTGTCGGATGACCTTCTACGATGCCTACCTGGTGAGCCTGTATGTCTTGGCGTGTCTCGTGAGCTTTGCTTGAGCCACCCATAACGGCAGGATGTGCTTGACAAAGCCAAGCAAGATGCAAACTACTGGGCGGTCCGAGCCCTGTGCCAGTGGAAAGTTACCACTGAGGGCCACTATACCGACTTCATGCAAGACATGTGATGTCGTGCTAGTTTGTTTGAGGCAACGGTGCACGGCAAAGAGCTGCGGCTTGTGAAAGTTTCCTGTGGCTTCTTCAGAGAGGCGAGCGACGCTGCCGAGAAGCAAGCAGCAAAGCTTCGCACAAAACTCGCTCCGCTTCGCGCGTGCTTGCGAGGAGATCCCCATGTTTGAGCGCTTCCGCTACCGAATGCTGTGGCTGGTCGAGTGGAGGCAGCTGGCGTGCCCAACTGCTTCTGTTGCGCACTGCAAAGAGTAGAGTGGTCATGACCGCCTCGCACCCCAGTGTTTTCGAGAACTTTGTCATCATCCTGATTATCTGCAATGCCTTGGCAGCTTGTCCTTGAGAATTTTTGGGGACCGCTTTCGTCGGCTTTCGTCGGCTTTCTGCTCGATGGAGGTCATGGCACATCCCGTTGCCTACGACGAGGCAAGTCAGCCCCGAGGCAGACCCGACCGGGCGGCATGTGTCCACAGGGCCACGTGGACTCCCAGTGCTCCTCGCAGGTGTACAGAACACGTACTTTGTGTTTGAGACCCTGGTTTCGGTCGACCGGGCGGAATTGGTGTCGGGAAGTTAGGCCCTGGCTAAAGCTTAAGCAAGAGGCATCAGGCCGCAGCGTCTCGGGGATGTAAGAGGGGCCTGCTACGTGAGACACTTCCTCGGCGGTGACTTCGTGCCTTCAGTCATCGCGCTTCTAAATGCGCCAGGCTGTTTTCACCATCGAGTGCACATGCCGGATAATTGCCCAGGGACTTTTCTTCGGCCGCGGTCTCAAGATCCCAATGCATGCAAGGCATTCGCGGATCAAAACGCGGACCGCAGGCGATGCGCCGAACCCGTGCTACTTGAAAGAGCCCTCCAACTGGATAGACATGATGGTGGTGCGGAGCCTGGCTGAGCTTTGGATCTTGGGCTCGAGTCTCTCCGCCTCCACAAACAAGGTCATTTTTACTTTTGTGGAGCCCTTCGCTGCAGAAGCTCCAGCCCCATCTAGTGCTCGGCATGATGTGGATGTGGAGCGAAGTGCACTCTTCAAACTTTCCTTGCGGGAGTTGGGCAGCAGAGCCTGAGGGCTGGTCTCACTTGTGGCTCATGCTCCGTTCAGGTGATTTCTGAACAAGACTTGAGGACGATGAGAGTCCTCCGTATTTTCCGAGCTCGCGGCTCATTAAGCCATCGCAGCGATTTGCACCACAGAATCATCGGCTTGTGCCGATCCATGGAGCAGGTCTTCCGAGTCATTAGAGGGATGACCTTCTTGCCACGCTTGAGGACACCTTGCGAGCAGTTTAACGTGCAATGCGTGGGTGTGCCGAATGCTGACAGGACCATAGTACAAGCCCTTTCAAAGAGCGTGCAGACCTCGGATTCTCGCGTGGGACGTAGGGTCTCAAAGCAGCCTTCGGGCCTCAGTTGTACCGCCTCTGGATCTCGTCCCTTGCGATTACCTTCACCCTGATCGTGGTTAGCATGGCTGGGTGTGAGGCTTACTTTGCTTGCCCCTGGCTCGTTCCCGGTCTCCGACCTGTTCCTCCTGAGGACAGATCTCTTCGGTGATGTCTATTGGAGGCCAAAGGGGCCTCTGCGAGATGCCTTTGCTGAACGGGTGCAGTCCGGGAACGGTGGAAGTGGAAGGCGCTGCCGCCTTTCCGAAGAGCCCTACCTTGTGAACGGCACCTTGGTCTGGCCGGAACCGCGGCTCCGGCAAAAGTCCTAAGCTGCGGCTCGAGTCTGTTTCCCAGGCCTCTGGACCCTTCTCAGCCGCGCTTCTGCGGTGGCCGATATGAGTGTGTGCGGGAGCTTAGCCGGAATTGCTTGCAAGGCCCGTGGTGTGATCGAGATCGCCTGTTCAGTCGTACTGACTCGGAAGTGTTGCAGGGCGCTGCCAGAACATGAGAACCCAGGTACCAACAACATCCGGTGCTCCGACCTACTGTAGGTCTCCAGTGCCGTCCCTGGGCTTCCAGAGACTGGTGGCAGCCTGAGCTGCCTCGATGCGGCGCAGACGCGAGGTGAGTACGGACACGGGGCCACTTCCCGGCTACAATCCATGGCCGGAGCTCTTCGAGAATCCCCTGGAAGCTCGGCTAAGCTCGGCTGCTCCGCACACTGTGACGGCAGATCTGCAGAACTGCCAAGGCTGACTATGGCTTCACGGGGTGCTTGGTCTATGTTGATGCAGTAGATGGGGTTGCTGTCTGCATCTTTCAGCCCTGTTGAGGTACCAGACCTTGTGGAGTGGCTTGCTGACGACCTTCCAGGCCCGGGGCTCGAGCCTCCAAGCGAGCGCTTCTAACCTTTCGGCATTTTTGGAGGTCGTGAACATCGACGGCTGGGTCAGCCTGATGCACCGCTTCGAGGACTCAGCCAAGCGTGGCTGAATTGAGACCCGTGTTTCACGAAGAAGCGCATGTCTGTTGCCAATCTCACCGGGAGCCACATGTTACGTTCGTCGATCAGGTCAGTCTCCTTGGCGCAACACCATGGCCAGGAGTAGAAAGGTGGAAGGAGAAAAGGTGTAAGGTGCCAGTTGCCAGCAGCAACATCTACTAAGAAGCATGCAATGCTTGGCGCTGCCCCGAGATGGCGAGGGACAGCAGCGGTCACGGACCGGATCTTGCAGTTCAACATAATCAAATTGAACAGTGTTCTCCTTTCGCCATCTGGCATGTGGCAGGTGAAGGCCCTTGGAATCGCAATGCATGTTTCAATGATTTCTTCAGGTTCCCGATCTGCGGTGGGTAGGGGACGAGAGAGGGAGGGTTCTGGACCCGAAGGATGCCAAGTGGCCCGGCCTGACCATTCCTTTCTTCATCCTGTTGATGCTCTTTGGGGGCCGCGCCTCTCAGAGATCGCAGATTCGACACTGCAATTCCCAGCGCCCTGCACTCGGGAGGCCTGATCCTGATGAACTTGGTCTTGGCGATACTTTGGCATTCCTTTGACACGACGGTGCAAGAGGACCCATCGTGTTCGGCATTGCTAGTTAGGGCCCTCTGCCGTTGGACCTGGCCTTTGGTTGGCAGCTGGATTGGTGCAGGACCGATCTGAGCTGGGAGACAGCAAGTTGAAGATGGAGGCAAACCATGCAGGGACAAGCTACACCGGACGAAGGGCATGGTGGTAAGTCACCTCTTGCCTTGCGGTCGTAAAGGGCTGCAATAAAGCAAAGCTGAAGCCCTAGGCCCCTAGGCTGAGCTAGGCATAGGAACCACATCTTCTGGGCGGTCTTGCCAGTTTATCATGTATGTATGTATATGTATGTAT